AGCTTCAATGTTCCCTGCTGCAGCTCAGCGCACGAGGATGCAGAACACACACGCACTGGACATGATTTCAGCAAGCTCGGCTGCAACCCTTAGGACTGGGGGTCAACTGACAAGGGTAATGGGGCGCCAGCAGAGTCCATATACTAGGAGGTGCATCAGAAACACATTTCATGTGAGAGGGCGACCGACCGGCTTCTAGAACGGACACTTCGATCTCCTACTAGGTAGTCGGACCCTCTGGTTTACTCCGTAGCTACTCACCACCTAGACTTACTATGTACTACCTACGGTACTTACCACTCCTTACCTAGTCCATCCGACTTGGGACGGTGGACCCGGGTAGACTAAACTTGTCGATGCATCAATAACATACACCGCTATCGGGCGCTCTCGGGGACTGTTCCGGCAAGGGTCGGGGGAAACCGCATCCTTTTCGGCGGCCGGCTGTCATCCACCCGAAATTTCGATGGTTATCGCAAGCTAGACTATGAGTACAAATTGCGGTCTCAGATATTCCTCGGAATTGAAGAGCGCAATCGAAATCTGCCGGTATATACCGTAAGAGTGACGCCGATTGAATTCGTTGCGGAAGGAGATTGTCGCGACTCTTGACGCAAATTATGATGCGATAAGCATGTTCCAGGCCCCTTTCAGTTTTGGCAGATGCTAGGATTTTTCGGCTTGACAAGAGCCTGGGCCCACTGCTCCGTTGTCAAGAGGGATTTTGGTCCCTGACGGTCAGTGAATGGTCAAGTCTGCAATCGCTATCTATGGGACTATGACAGATGAGACAATTGTATGCCAATCGACGCGGTGAGTCAAAAGAAATGCCCGAACCAGATCATCGAAGGAGTGATTTGCAGAACCACATCGAGTGATCACATCATCCGAGCCAGAAAAGTCAATCAGGTGGGCCGGAATACAAGAACAAATTCAAATTGGCGGCCCACCTGCGATTTGTGGCTTCGGGATGTTGCAAACCACAAATCATGATCACTCAAAAATCCTCCCGAAGGTAAACTTTTAAGATCTCGTTCTCGCCTTGCACTCTTCCGCAACCTGGTACGAAATCATCATGATTCCCTTTCGCTGTGATGAACTCTGTAGAGGTCAAATACAAAGTTCTCATGGATCTTGGCATTTACAGTTGTAAGGCTTGTTTTCAAGGGAGATTTCATCTTGCAGCCACACAATCCCAGCACGTGCTCGACACGGGCACGTAAGCTCCGCGCCTGGATTGGGTAAGGATCATTCGAAGATGAAGCGTCGTCCATGCCAGTTTATCGCCACAGCCGGGCGACCAAAAAGTTCTGATCGTGCAGTTACCAATCCAGTCTAGACGAGGCACGGGCCCAAAGACTCAAGACTCAGGAGCGAAGAGTCAGACAAGGCACGGAATGCCGTGCTCCGTTAAGATCCAGGGGCCCATAGGCCCTTTTCGGCTTGCCGAGTCCTCTGGCCTGCGGCCCAGCCCTGTCCTGTCCGGTGTCCCCTTTCGGCATAGACCTGCCATCATATCACTGTCAGTGATAGGAAAATCCGAATAGACCAATCGACTTATCATGAAGATCCAGACGATGAGATCAGAAGTACTCCTGTACCAGAAATTGGCTTCCGTAGCGGATCGACACGACCAAGTATGCTGGCTCGGGAAGTACTCTAGAGTCGAGATAGAAGTCAGGAAAGTTGGACGGTCAGCCAACCCACTCTCCCCCTGCAGCAGTAGTGACCAGTTAGTGTGCTTCGGATTTCAGACGGTTCTGTCTAGCGGTTGTAGGGTGATGAACTGATGATAATGACCGGAACTATTAGCAGCCTAGCCAGGTACCGAGCACGGACGCTTTAAGAGCCCACCGGAGGAGATTGATTGTTGCTGTTGCTGTGTACATGTTGGGCAGCAGTCCTCCACTGCCTGCCAGCCTTTCTTTCTCGAATGAGGCCTGTTGGTGCCTAAGGACCAACAAGCGGCAGCGGCGGACAGCACGTGGCCGGCCCTCAACCTCAAGTCCGGTTTCTTTTCCCGACCGTCCTTTTCATTCACTCCTTATCAGGAACCACCACTCCACCACTCCCCTTCTCTCCTTATCAATTGTCCGATTGTCGCACTGGAATCTCTATCTCGTTATCAATTTACCCGAGTTACGCGAACCTTTCAGCCGAGGTTCGCTGCAATCCTTGCCGCCACCATCTAACTATATCACGATCGACCCATTTTCACAGGATGAGCTCACGTGTGAGAGAAATGGCGCCATGCCCCTTTCTGATGGTCTTTCAGAAGGCAAGCTTGCCGTGATGCTTTTCCGACTGCTGAAGCGCATAAAGACAAATTGGGGCCGGAAAATACCTTTGCAGCTGGGGCATCGTCACATGCCACATGCAGATCAGGGTGAGATCTACCCTTCCCATCCACTTTCATCCACTCTTTCTTATCATATAATATCGCCGGGGTCGAGACTGCGATTAGATAATCGTGCAATTGCATCTACACTGCAGTCACCCGCTGGTCACATCCAGCATTGGAACGACCTTCTGACTTCCTGACTTCAAAGCGATAGACCCCCCTCACGGGTAAGAATCAGATCTGAAAGGAATGCCCCAAGACGGACGATTGGATTTGGGCAGAGGGGGTACCTTTCGCTCGTGAATCGACTTCATCGTCTCCAAACCCTCTGTGGCGGACAGACGGCCATGACGTACTGTTATCAACATGATCGGCCACCCACCTCCCTGGCTTTTCTCAACACCCCGGGCGTCGTTGTTCGAATAAGCCAATCTGCTGGATAATACAGCCTGGATTCAACCGCAGGTTTGTCCTCAGAGATGCTTTAAGCCAATGCCCCTGGTCCCCCCATGTAATACTCACCATCATGGATCTGCACCGCGGGAACGCAACAGCTCTGACGCAAAGCATGCTGCATCGAGAACCACCATCCCGCCCTAGCACGATCACCCGGATCAGCCGGTATGCGTCATATTGAGCTTGGACCGGAGGGCCATCGAAGCAGAGGTTTCCACTGAACCCCCACGATCCGTTATGGGGAAGTGCCAAAGAAGGTATTTCCGGCGAGGGCCCGCGAAACCTCTCAGGCCACCTGCGCATTGTGGCGTTTGTTGCGTATACATGTACCCAATCAAGGGCCTGGCCCTGTCTGCTGACCGGCATGCTGATACTGTACAAAAGTTCCAGAATGCCTCCCTCACAAGATACACATGCACAACCACCGCTGTCGGTTCCCATTCGCTTTCATCCCGGCTATTCTTTAAACAACAATTAATGTCGGAAGCAAGCCTTGCAACCAATTAATTCAGCCAGTCAATCCCACACAGCCTCCTCTCACAATAGTGGTGCTCATGTTGTGCTAGTGCGGTTGATTCTCAGGGCCACAGCATTGGCTTGCAGCGGACAAGCGTGTGCCATCGCCTGAGCTCCTACACCACAGACAGACAATAATGTTCTGAACCAATGATCGAACTGGAGGAACAGAGCCGCTTCCATTGGTGAAAGACTCTCGCAATGTGATATCGTAGCCCCGGCTTGTCGGCGTCCGTGGATAGCCTGCTCCAGTTATTTCCTATTTGAGTCGAGCCTAGTTTGGGGATGGTTGTATTGTTCGCCGGCCCGCATTCCACTAATTGTGCAATCCTCATTATCGACAAGCTTGCTGTTGGTTCCACTGTTGCTCGACTCGATACTGATCGAGCTTGCTGCTTTCTTGTCCGTCCGGTTTGCTCTCCAGGCCTTGCCACGAATGCTGACAACTAGACGCTTTGTCTGGATCTGATTTTGTCGCCGCCGTGGCTGTGCCAGGTCTAGGAGCACCTCTTTTTGCCCTGTTGAATCATATCTTCGCACGCACTGATACTGCTTCCTTTAGCGGTGCCACAGGGAGAATAGATACATGTTCGACATGTCCTGCCATAGCCACAGTGCTGTCACTAATGTTCGAACAGACACCAGCATTTTCTAGCCGTCGCCATCACCACCCTGTCACTCGCGTCTCTGATGTGGACCAGAATCTGACAGGAGAGTAGACCCAATGTTAGGCGAATCAAGGCAGCGAGGGATGGTCAAATAGTTTGTAGACGAGTTGCATACATCCACGGCAGCGATGCACGAGCCTTCCGACAACCACAGATAGTGAGCTATTCCTATCTTCCGGGTAAAACAGATTCTAGCTCAACTGTACTGCACCCGCCAAGAAGAGAGCAGACAACCGACGCTGTGATCTTCCCAACTAACCTCACAGCAGCAGCAGCAGCAGCAGCAGCAGCACATCCAGCAAACAATATAGGCTCGACCAATCTAGCAGCTAATGTCTATACCAACTGACCGAAGGCATGGCTATCAGAAAACGACAAGACCTACCAGAGGATTGCAACGATCCAACCCAGACCACTACGCCGGCCCGTAACTGAATCTAGTGAATAGACAATACATACCCACTACACCCTTGTAATCCCCCCACCAGAAGCGAGAGAACCCACAGAAATGCATCGGTCTAAATAACCCTAAAGTCGAACCTATAAGTACAGTCCAAGTGAAAACAAGCTATGAACACCACCAAGAAGTAAAGCAAGGGGAACAACAAACCCCCTATCATCGCTATACATTAAACCCAGTCTAACCCCAACCCCAACCCATCATCACCATAAGAATTAAAACGAACCAAAACGAGAAGAAAAGTCCCTTGGAACCCGCAAGTCGACTTGTCCAGAACATTACCCCGTCCTCCTCCCACATAAAAAAGATTGAGAAGACAAAACACAGCCAGCCAGCTAGCCATGATGACCCACCCTAGTCCCTAGTGTCCCATCCCCCCTCAAGACCAGCACACCACAAACAGCAAGCAGCAAAGCCACCACCGCTCCGCTCCGCAATGCGGCCAAACCAGCGAGCGACCCAAGCCCTCAACCCCATGAAACCTCAACCCCCAGCCTCCAGCTGAGTTACTCATTACAATCCCACAACCCAACCCAACCAGTTAACCAGATGGGAGGACCTAAAAAATCCACCCTAAAACAATCCACACCAGCAAGCCCGCCACGACCACAATGCCCGCGACCTTCAGCACGGCCACCGTATCGCCCTGCCGCGCCATGCGGGTCAACCGACTGGCGCTGCCCTTGAAATTTGTGGACAGGGAGGAAAAAACTTGGTTCTGTGCAGCAGCGAAGAAAACGTCAGTTTTGAAAACAAACACCTTCCTTCTCCTTCCCCCCACACCAAGAAAAAAGAGAACTAACCGAATGATCCAACGTCTCCTGATCCCTCGCATTATCATAGATATCAATCGTCACGGACTTGAGCGCCGAGACCTTCGAGGAGAGGGAGTTGAGGAGGGCGTTGTTTTGTCTAACCGAGTGCCAGTTGGAGTTAGTATTATATCTTCCGAACGTCACGTCACATCTTAGACTTCCAAAAACAAAAGTCCAAGATGCCCAAGGACTCGATTTTGGTCGTCAAAGCTGAAGAGGGGCCGGGGGGCAGGAATAATCAAGGTAAGAACATAACATACTGTTCGCGCTCGTAGGCTTCGGCCATTTTCGCGGTTGTTTCGGTTCGTTCCGGGGCCGGGGCGAGGGTAAAGGTGCAAGGTTGTCCTAGGAGTTGTAGAGAGATCCGGTTCGTGAGATGTATTAGGTCAGGTAAGTAAAGCGGAGTGCGTTGTCTGTTAGGATAAGAAAGATGAAGAAAAGGACCGGGGTATGAGGCAGTACGGAGAAGGAAGTCAAGAGTCCATGGCCGGGCGGGAGTGGATTGGATGACGCTGCGGAGGCTTGTGGGGAAAACAGCTGTCACGTGCCAGACTCATCGCCAGGTCGCGGCCCCTCCTCGGTGGATAATTCACTTAAGGACTGCACTGGAAACTACATAATCTGAAAATTACAGAGCATCCTGAACATCCTCAGCCAATATCAAGTAACCCCGCCAATGGCTACTAGCCTCCAGTCGGTGGTCAGGTTCTATGATAAAATAAAGCGTTAATACAGACAGTAAAGAATAGAAAATCAAGCAAACCCCTCTCGCTATGCGATCAAATCAAGCCAAGGCAACAACAACAACAACAGGTCATATCAGGCACTACCCCATACCCTCATCATGGAATATGCAAAGGTGCACTATATAAAGTTGGTTCACAGCAGCTTTCCCTGTGAGTATAGTGGAATATGAAACAGAAACCCTCATATCCTTTTCTTTCGCTGTGCTATTTGCCACATATCGCGGGTCCAAAGATAGGAGCTAACACCAGTGTACAAAGCTGCGAAAAGGCGCCCGATTCGACAGAAGCAGGGGTATAGAAATGCTCGTCAACTATTCGACCGTAGCAAGGGAAGAAAGAGCCTGTCCATTCACAATCACCACATATCGTCTTCGTCATCATCCAACTGCATATCATCTCCAAAGGTTGAATGCCCATATTGACTATGGCCAGGGCCGTATGTATTCCCATTGTCGTAGCCATCTTTGCTCCCACGCGACTGGGATCGGTACTGGTCTTGATGCTCGTCACTGTATTCATACATCTGAGGATCATCGTAGGAACTGTCTGTGTACTGTTGCTCCTGGGCCTGCAAGTAGAAGGAAACGTCAGCAGATGCCTGTCAAAGCCTTGGTAGTAAGAACTTACCTCTTGATACCGCTGGTACTGTTGGTACTCTTCCTGTTGTCGCTGCTGCTGTCTCTGAGCCGCTGACGTTGCGAGCATCATGTGCGGGTGCATCTGTTGCACCTTGGCCAAGTACGAGTACATGAAATTACTCAACAAGACCTGCGAGTACAGCGCGCGTCGAGGGTTCGCAAGCTTGATATGTGCCATCCGGTAGATTGCTCGTTCTTCCAGGATAGAGAACCGAGTCCAAGCGTAATCAATATCTGGCCGCAATTCTCGAACTGGCGGCTCAGGGGACAAATTACGAGAGGAGCTCTTCTTGTGATGATGCCCGCTATCGCCGTTGCTCTTCTTCCTACTGCCACCAAATATGGATGAGAATAGCCCCGATTCCTTCTCTTTCTTCGATTCGCCGGAAGCTCTCCGCGTGTTGTCTTTGCGTCGTTCATCCTCTAATTTGGGGTCCAGTCGGTCCATAACAAGGCTTTCGCGGCCCCGCTGGATAGTCTCACTCGACAAGGGTGGGGTGTGAGACGCATCGTGTGCTTTGTCCGCAGACTTCGATTTGTGCTTCTTCGAATCGCTGTCCTTGTCTTTCTTCTTATCCTTGTCCTTGTCCTTCTCCTCGTTGCCCAAAAGCCAGTGCCAGCTCGATTTGCGTCCTCCTTCAGACTCCTTTTTGTCCTTTGATTTCTTAGATTCGGATTTCCTTTCTTCGGGCTTGCGTTCCTCTGACTTGCGATCTTCCGACACTGTGGGAATGAATGAAAGACTGTCGGTTCGCATAGTATTACCGGGCAGGGGCTGCGGGTTATTGGCGAACTCGTTAAGGGTGGGGGCGGCATCTGTTGCATGTGTGCGACTGAGTCCGGAACGTTTGTTAGGGGGACGCTCGTGTGATCGATCTGCTGCCGAAGGGCTCTTTGAGGGCGGGATCTGCTGCTGAGAACTCGGGCTCGGGGGTGTGGCATTGCTTTCGGGCGGTGGGGTCTCAACTATTTCGGGAATTCTCTGTTCGGAGGATGGAATGTTCAATGTCGAGCGTCCATTCGAGCTGATTCGCGAATGCCATTGTTGACGTTCAGGTGGAGGGGCGCTTGCCCGATCTGATGAATCGGGAAGAACGGAGTCACTTACTGAAGGTGTTGGTTCGGAAGCCGAATCCGACGTGAAACTGGATGTTGTGTCAGGGGTATGCGGGGTTCCTTGAGTAGACTTGGCCAAGGCTTGCGACCGTGTCACACTCGGCGTGGGATCAGTCGATACCCGTGTCAGACCTATAGCTGCTTGTCCGCCTGTAGGGTCGTTTCCGTCCGCCGATTTCCCTGCCCGTTTGGAGTATGGGGCTTTCTCTCCCTTTCGTAGGCTTCCAGCCTTGCGATATTGGGTTCTTGTTGAGCGTCGAAGACTGTGACCTGGAGGGGCTGGAGGAAGTATCGGTCTATCTTCGTCGGCTGATAACCCAAGCTTTTGGATATCGCTGAGGATTGACGAAGCGCTCGGCGTGCGCGACTTCGAGTCATCTACCAAGGTTTCCAATTCATGCAGGTTGGGACCCAACGAGTCCTTTTGTGTCTGTGAGCGTTTTCGCTCGAGCCGCTCCGCACCATCCGTGTAGCCATGAGAGCTGTCGATCTGCCTTGAAAGCATGGACCGCTTCCGTCTCAGTCCTCCTCGCATGCCTTCGCCATCCGAGCCTAGGGTCGAGAAATCCCCGGATTTCCGTTTGATCATATCTGCCTTGCTCTCGAGGAACGATTTGAACTCCTTGGGTGCCAACTCCGGGTGTAACCGGGCGGGGACCCAGAAAAGGCGGGCAGCATCGTTCTCATCGTCGGAGGGAGAGGGCGGGATCGACGGCACTGAAAAACTCGGCAGGTCGGGATCCCCGGTGGCTGCCACGTCCATTGACATCCGCCGGATTGCAGCCAAGTTGCTCAGCTCTTGTGCCACGGCGGCTGGATTGGACTCGTAATCGATGTCGTTGAGAGGGAACGAGGTAGTAGCGGTGTCGGTGGAGCCGGGCGAGGCGGTCGAGGCGGGAGACGTCGGGCTGCTCTCCACAGACTTGGAACCTTGCGCCCATGTTTGCCCATTCACTTGCCGTTGGTTCACTTCACTCAGCTGGTTTTTCACTTGTAGATTTTGGGGAGAGGTAGGAGATTCGCAGCCGGCAAGATTTGGAGGGATAATTGTGATCGCTTCACTTAAGGGGGAGGAGATATAGCTGAGGCGCCGAGAATCGCGTTTGTCGTAATCATCTTCGTACATGTGCCCGATGGCTTCCGTTACATGGTGACTTGGGTCGCTAATTGACAGTTGGGGGACATGCCCTCGCCGCGTCGTGTATCCTCCTCCAGGTTCAGAGGGGCTCGGTGAAGCCTACGCGTAGAGGGGAGGTTGTTAGACGCAATCCCGCAATCGTAAATAGTTGAAACAGGGGGGTTTATTGAGGACCCCACAACCCACGGGGCAAAGGGCAATAGTACCAGCAGCGCACACGAGTGCAAAGCTGTAGAAGGACAGGGAACCGAAAGCAGAAACAGAAAATGCTCGTAACCAGTCTTGAATGGGGCGATTTACAGGGACCAGGGGCGGAGAGAAAGACAAGGAAGGGAACGTGACGCACCTGCATGGGAGCAAATAATTTGAGGGGGGGAGGGAGCTAAAAGGCAAGCGTCCCGAGGTTGACAAAGGACCAGGAACTTCGCCTGGTGGAGAGGAGGTCAAGGTACCACCAGGGTCGCAAAAGTAGACAAGTAGAGGATAGTCATGGAATCATCAGAGCGGGGGAACGTATTGTCGACGAAGAGGAGCAACCACCAGGGTGACTAGGAGTGAGAAATGACGATGACGGCTAGGCATCCGGCGGCCAACGGCGGGAGAGAGAGGGAGAGGAGAGGATGGTGACGAGCAGTCGGTTTGAAGGTGGAGAGAGAGGAGGAGGGGGGGGGGTGAAGAGAAAAAGAGGGATTGAAGAGGAGAAAGAGGAGGAGGAGGAGGGCCAGCGAACGAGGCTGAGGAGGGAGAGAGTGGCCGTGGTTGCTGTTTGGTTGGTGGTGAAGAAAAAGGATAATAGGGAAAGGATGAGAGAAAAGATGTTCACAACCTTGTAGTTTAGTTGCTCGTAGTTAGGTAGGTAGCAAGTAGGTAGTAAAAGGCTGGAGAGTCCCCAGGTAGGTACTAGGTAAGTATTGTACCCACCACTGCTTGCCTGTCTGCCTGCACAGCACCACTTGTACTGAGTATTATTATTGTACTGGCAGTACTAGGAGCAGTACTAAGAAAGAGTACCAGTAATCATGAGTGGTGGTCCCTGCGAGAAGTGGTTGGTTTGGTCTGGTTGGTTGCTGGTTCGGTGGTCGGTCTGGCCGCGATGATCGGAGTCGACAGAACAAAAATAGATGGAGATTCTAGCAACTAATATTGTTTCGCGACACAGGTGAGGGTGTCCTTGGCTCTTCTGAGATAGAGCAGCAATTTAAATGTATAAAAGAAGGAAGAAAGGTGGGAAAATCAGGGGAGAATACACTCCTGAGTGGGGTGGACGGACTGTATCAGAGAAAGACCCATCTACTGTCTGTCCATTTACAACCGCAGTCGAATCTGGAAGATTCGTCTTGTCTGGTTCCCGTTTGGATTGGGCGGATTTGTTTGGTTGAGGTAGGTACGGAGTAGTACCTAGTATCTCAGGTACACCGTTGAGTTCTGTCAGGTACAGTCCCCACGAGGAATGGGGAAACAAAAAAAGACAGAGTTTCCCACAGTAACCCGTTGATGAGTAGTCGAAGTAGTCTAGCTTGGAAGTATATGGATGTTAGAATGATGGGATGGGATGGGATGAATAATGATTGATCATCAACTAACTAAATTTAATGGATTGGATTCCGCGCAGGCCGAACTACCGGCTGACTCAGCCCGCCCGCCCTCTCCACAGCTGATCCATGATCGATCCATCCACTGCAGTATGGAATAACTTAATCAACTGGCAGGCCACCTCCCCTCCGTTCGTTCGTTCGTTCGCGCGCTTGCTTGCAGTAGGCGATCAATGATCAACATTACCCCCGTGCTGCTGGTGGGTTAGGATTGACAAGTGGCACGGTCTTTCCCCATGGTCAAAATGCTTCCCCTCACTTACTTCACTTGGTGTTTGTACTGTTACCTTCGCATTAGACAAAGAACCTGTGGCTTAAGATATAAATTGAATACATTATATACTACCTAAAAACATGAGATTTCCCTTCTTAAACCTGTTCGTTGAAGCCCTGCGGCCCATGATGCAGCAGCATGAGGGCTCAAGGGATGTCTTTTCCTTGTTCCCTCCTTACTATACTCACGCTAACTAGGGATTTCCTCTCCTGCCTTGCCTACAGTACGAGGTACGGTACCCACGCAACCTTCAGCTGTCAGCTTTTCGCTCGAGCTCTATGTGTATCATTTGATTCACGATGGAGCTGTCATCGGAACATGCAAAAAGTCATTGTAAGGCCTTCCCTGGCCTCGTGAATCAGGCTTTGACACCAGCTCGAGCTGTCCTGTGGGTGAGTCATGCTGCTAGTGTTCGGCTCAGAGGTTCTGTACAGTACGTTCTTACTACAGGATGTCTCGTATCGTTGAGCCTCGCCAGGGAGGAAAGGAAATACCCACCCCCACTTCCGCTAGTACTCCGTCGGTGGTAGCCAAGAGAAGGATGGAGAGAAGAATGAAAGCTAATGAGACTGAAGTGGCAGCACGAGAAGGATTAAGAACCTGACAGGAATGTTTATCGACTTTCCATCCCACCGTTTGCCGCCCTTCCTTCAAGGCAAGACCCTATTGTTGTTATGCCTGACACGTGAGGATTGTGGTCCATCCAGTGCGCTCAGCCCATGATTGTAAGTGCTCAGGCGGAAAGGCCCAGATGACCTCGCTTACTCAAGGATGCAATACCACAGGGAGGAAAGTCGGTCTCAAGCTCTTTGAAGAATGTACATTCATTAATACCTCCAAACATACGGGGTATGGACGGACATACAGGGAGGGACATGCCTATGAAACCTACGCTTGAAAGCGACTGGTGACGACAGCAGCCACTTTCTGGCGACATCCAGCCATCACGCCAGAGTCTTTGTGTTCAATGCCAGGCGCCCTTGCAAGGGGGGTTGATTTATGTCAGTTGAGCGGCAGCTAACCTCAATACAAAGGGGGCTGAGACCTCTCCAATCATTCCATCTCAACTCGGTAAACGATAAGTCATTCAGTCATTCTAAAACTGCCAGGTCTGCCGGCTAATCCCATACTGGAAAAGAACATCTTATGTATAAATTGGAAGCAGTACCTAAGCACAATCACAAACACACGCACCCGAAGGACAGCCCAGTCGGAACCACAACCCACAAATGTGAATACCTGGCTCATCCCCTATCCGTGCAAGCAAAACCTGTGCTCACTGGTCAACTCAATTTGAACTCCGGTGCTGATATGAAATGCCAAAAGCGGACCCTTGGAATTGCAGAGCTGACATATTTGCAAGAGAGAAAAATCGCCGATGCGAAACTGAAAGGTCAAAGAGGACGAGTATTCTGGAAGGCATTGAGAGAAAGACAGAAACAGGGATGTCATAAAGATGTCATTTCGCATAAATTAAAGCAGGGGAATCAAGTATTTAAGCAGGGTCAACATAATTACTACGCATGGCAGGTTAGTATCCGGCGCAGGAAATTGAATCTGACGGACGGTGATGCTTACCTGGGAAAGATTCCAACTCGGTCTCCAATTCGCCCCGTCCACCAGTCCTCTGCCTTGTCAGTCCGCTTGAGGATGGTGATGATATCGCCTTTCTTGAAACCCAGGTCGCCTTCTTGATCAGCATCGAATGTGTACAGCGCAACTGCCTGGTCCTGACGGAGTGTAGGGGCAGCCCCTGTCCTCTGTCCAAAGATCGGCTTCGGGGCTGTTGGACGGCTGGGTTTGCGGTCGGAATACACATAGTCTTCATCAATAGGGGCGGTGTTGCTACGGCTGCGGTTGAAAGACTCGTAGGTATCCGGGCGGCTGCTGTTGCGAGTCGTTGAAGACCGGTTCAGACCTCCCGCGGGTCGGTCATAGATATCATCGGCCCACGTGTTCGCACGACGAGGACGATCTCGGTACTCATAGTCGTCGTTGCCATTCACCCCAGTCCGGTCGCGCCGAAGACCTTCTCCATAGGCATCGCCTCGTCGACCCTCCCATACCACATCATCATGGCTATCATCATAGACAGGAATGTCGTTATACATAGTATCTCCTTGTCTCGAGTTGCCATAGAAAGCGCGCGAGTTCAAGATACGTAGAAGAGGATCAGCGGCAGGAGGAGGCCGAATGGTTCCGCTCAGTAGCTGGCGGGCCGACACTCGACTGTTGTACATCTTCTCGTTTGCATCCTTGCGCTCCACCAACATACTTCCCTCCAGACTCACGCCGGCAAAGAGACCCTTGGTCTTGGAGTATGAGAACACCGCCGCGACACCTTTTGTACTTGCAGCGCCTGCGGCCTCGGCGTTGCGTCCGATCGGTCCAGCGGCAATCGAAACATTACCACCCAGTGTCAAGGTTCCCGCTTGAGAAAACGTGCGCACAGCAGCCGCATCATTTAGGATAAAAACGAAGTCGGTCAATTCAAACCCTATCTGGCCCCCGAAGCCGGCCCCTGCTGTCGCAATGGCCGACGGAGCCGACCAAGAGCCATCTGCGAGGCGGGCTACAACAACCCCCGAACCGAAGCGAGCGGAGCCCAGGAAGCCGGCTTTCAGGACAGTAAGAATGGCGAGACCCTGGCGATAGAGCGGTCAGTCTGAGACGAGAACGCCACGGAATGGGTATGACAAAGGAAGGCTCTTTTGCCCACTTACTTTAGCTCCTGCTAGAATTTCAGGGGGAATGACCTTATCAGGTCCAAATGCTTGTCGGGGGTCCACGAAGGACGTAAGAATTTTCCCAACCTTTTTGCATTCGCCTGTTGTCCGCGGGTTAGTTCACGCTCAATAGCCTCGCAAGTGATTGCGGGGAAGTTGGAAAGCGGGCGGAGTAATGCATACTTGACAGAGATGAAGGGAGCGGATTGTGAATTCCGAGAGGCATCTTGAAAACCACTCCGGACCTGAGAAGCCCGTGAAGAAGGGGAGGAGAGAGTGAGGAGAGGAAGCAAGGAAGGAGGGGGTGGGATGAAAGAGAGAGAGTTAAGAGTCAGGGAGCAGTAAAGAAAAGAAAGGTGTTGATAACCGTAGGTTGCTTTGGTCTTGAGGGAGCGACCGGAAGTGGAACCCAAATGACGGGCTGACATCCACTCGCTTTCGCAAACGATCATTCTATGCTTCTCCTGCCAACTCAAGCTGACCAAAAGAAACCGCGGCACCATGCACTTAGTGCAGCATGCTGGAATTGATTTCGCTGGCCCTATGCTCTATTGAAAAGTCGCTGAGTGAGCATTGGCCTGTCTGGCTCAAAAGAAACCCTGAGCGTGTGCTCAGCCCCGCGATATTGAGCCCAAAGAGTAGGTATGCGCTTTTTGTCTCTATTACGTCCTGTGGCTGCGGTTGCTGCGGTCGGCTTCCTTCACATCCGGCTGCCGTAACTCATGCAATTGAGTCTTTCAGACAAATGGAAGTCGTTAGGAAGGCCTCGACCTTATAGCGCAGTAGGTTGATATGATGCGATCATGTTTTCGCTTCCATATTGTGTGCGCATTAAGTGTTGCACAGATTTGTACGGCACAGTAGTACTGCACATCCATGCAATCCCTCCGATCGAGACCTGAGGCTGCGAGAACGGCACAGCCACCGCCGAGGTTCCGCTGATCATCTCCGTCACCGATCGGAACCTGAAAGTACCCTTCGTCAAGCAAGACAAAACTCTTGGTTTTCATGTCGGCAACATCAGGAAGGCATGACTCAATGATCAGAGGAGGGTGATAGCAGAGCTGCATTCCTAACCCATTTCACGATGGCTACAGGTTCGACAAGCCGACCGCAATTGACCCTGATCTACGGTTGCTGACAGCACTCCAGTGCGAATCTGCGTCTGTGGAGACGAAGGCACTGGCAAGTCCAGCTTGATCACTTCTCTTGTCAAAGGTGTCTTCGTCACAAACAAGATTCAGCCCGTCCTACCCCAGATCACGATACCTCCGACCATCGGTACCCCCGAAAATGTCACAACGACAACAGTGGTGGACACCTCCGCGCTTCCGCAAGAGCGGAACAACTTGGCAAGGGAAATCAGAAAATCCAATGTGATCCTACTTGTGTACTCGGATCATTACAGTTACGAAAGAGTCGCTCTGTTCTGGCTGCCGTATTTCCGCTCCTTGGGGGTTAATGTACCGGTAGTTCTTTGCGCGAACAAGTCCGACCTGGCTGCGGACCACACGGAGACACAAGTCATTGAGGAGGAGATGCTCCCGCTAATGGCAGAGTTCAAGGAGATCGATTCATGTATACGCACCAGTGCCCGCGAGCATCGAAATGTCAACGAGGCTTTCTTTCTCTGTCAAAAAGCCGTCACGCATCCCATCGCACCGCTCTTCGATTCGAAGGAGTCTGCTCTGAAGCCCGCTGCTGTCGCCGCGCTACAACGCATATTCTATCTGAGTGATAAAGATCGGGATGGTTATCTTAGTGACAAGGAAATGGAGGACTTTCAGATGCGCTGTTTCGAGAAGCCTCTGAGCGAAGAAGATCTTGTTCATATCAAGGAGACCATCCAAAGGGCACATCCTCACTCGGTCACTCCCTCAGGCATTGACTGCCGCGGGTTCCTTCATCTCAACAAGATGTATGCTGAAAAAGGTCGTCACGAAACAGTCTGGATCATTCTACGGGCTTTTCAGTACACGGATAATTTGTCCCTTCAAGAAAACTTCCTCCATCCGAGATTTGAAGTTCCCCCTTACGCATCAGCTGAGCTGTCGCCAGAGGGCTATCGTTTCTTTGTTAACCTGTTTCTTCTCTCCGACAAGGATAATGATGGTGGATTGAATGACGCCGAGTTGGCGTCGCTATTTGCGCCGACACCAGGGTTGCCTGCCTCTTGGGCGGATGGCTCATTCCCATCTTCCACCGTTCGGAACGAGGCCGGTCACGTCACCCTTCAGGGCTGGCTGGCACAATGGAGTATGACCACTTTCACATCGCCCAAGACCACGCTCGAGTACTTGGCCTACTTGGGATTCGAGTCATCCGACCGCAGCAATCCTTCGACAACGGCGGCGCTTAAAGTCACGCGGCCACGAAAGCGAAGGAGACGGCCCGGACGCGTGGGGCGCAACGTCGTTCTTGGCCACGTGCTTGGAGCTCCGGGATCCGGCAAATCGGCTCTGTTGGATGCGTTCCTCTCGAGAGGATTTAGCGCCACCTATCACCCCACCATTCAGCCACGAACTGCTGTGAATACAGTCGAGCTCCCTGGAGGGAAGCAATGCTATCTGATCCTGGACGAACTTGGAGAGCTCGAGCCTGCAATCCTGGAGAATCAGGTCAAGCTTCTCGACCAGTGCGATGTCATTGTTTACACGTACGACTCTTCTGATCCCGATTCGTTTGCGTATATTCCAGCTCTGCGGGCCAAGTATCCGCACTTGGAAGAGCTTGCGAGTGTGTTTGTTGCACTTAAAGCGGACCTGGACCGAACCACCCAACGGGCGGAGCATCAACCTCATGAATACACGGCCATGCTGAACATGCCCAGTCCACCTCTTCATGTCAGCGCTACGTGGAGTTCAATCCAAGAAGTGTTTGTTCACATTGCCGAGGCGGCTATGGAGCCTAGCACGGCCTTCCCACGGAGTGAGGAAGATGTCGAGGGCAAGTGGATGTCGTGGGGAATCGCACTGGGGGCGGTTGTCTGCGCGGGGGCAGCAGCGGTGATGATCTGGCGGAGAGTTAGTGGTAGTGGGGTCTGAGGGCGCTTCTGGTTCCCCAACACTATGTACCGATAGTTGTAAACCTAGAAACTAGATACCCTTGACAATTTTGCCTACCTGCATTGCCCTGGGATATTGTACGAAACCATGCACTTTAATTGGAGCCTTTTTAATGCTAACGTACATAAATTGAAAGCATCGGAAAGCGTTCATAGAGAGTAAGGTAGGCAAGTACAATACAATGGGCCCAAGAGCACCATTGATGGTGAACCCCGCCGTGGATCGGCTGAGGACTTGCTCCGTACCTGCTACGTAGTCCAGTATGCTAAAGTTGCCGGCCGGCCCCACGCGCGAACTTGCCTCTAACCGTCTACGAGTAATTAATACTGTTAGTTCAACCAACGTAAACTAACCCCGGAATAACCATGACCACCGGTTGGCTGCCCGTCAGCTCCAGCCTCCCACCCAGGTCCCGGTCATCCGTCTGTCGCCTGCCAGGCTTCCTTCCAAGTGACTTCCAAAGTGACTCTGGCTTCATCCCGATCTCTTCTCTCCCAAGACACAAACTCAGCCGATTCGTGCCCGGAAATATCCCCTGTCACCCCTCAATCTCCGCCTCGAAGTCTACTTAAACTACTCAAGGACGGCCGCGGATTGTCCCTGTGTTTCGACCAACTCTCCTCCTCGTCCCAGCTACCTCTCTGCCACCGATTGTCGCTTCTCTCCCCCTTCAGGACCTGCAATACTGGCTAAGCGCAAAAGTTGCCCCGGCAAAATCCTCCTTATATAAACGATATCAGTATAAAGAGCCGCCCTGAGTGGCACCCGTTGCTGGTGCCGCTCTTGGGGGACTTATATTCAGCGTTGCCTGACTAGCCCGCCTATTGCTAGCTTCACTAAATTCGTGATATCACGCCCCGATCATATCATACCAACCCCGGAGGATCCTTGTTTTCACCATCAATTGGTTCCCGTGGAGGCACTGTTGCAACCGCAGCCATGTTGTAAGACACACCACCCCGACCGCACCCTGGTCATCCGTTTGGTTTCCCTTATCTCCGCTCTGTGCCGCAGCATCATAGGTCCGGCGCCAGAGTCCCTGGAGAGTTTCCAGAGGCAGACCCGTTTCCCTCAGCCTTTGACATAATATGACGGCTCTGTTATGTGGCTTCCCTTCTGACTGATAACCCTCAATTCAGCGTCCTTCCCCCTCCCCCACCTCGCTACACCGTCCCTGTCGCCTATGCAGCTGGTGCATCAAACGGCATGGCGGTGCCTGTGGTAGAAACAAACAACATCATCAGCCATCCCGAAGGCGGTTGTTCTTTGCAGGTTGGAGAAGGTGCGTTTGCTCTATCGCACCCACATAAGACATGTGATCGAGAGTCCACTGACACAAATTCTTGCGATAGGCACCTATCACCTCAAAGATAACCTCCACCTCGCAACGCCGCCGCCCCATCCCTCGGAAGCGCCTGTTGTGAACCCGAACCCGCTCGCGACTGGCGTGACCCCGCCAACCTCGGGCGTGAAACTCTCTTTAGTCCAAGTCAGCAACCAAAGCAAGGCCCCTACATACTCTTCAAACGGAAATGCCACAGCACCATTGTTTGGCGATGGGAACCCCGCGCTGGCCGCGCCGGTGGTTAAAGAAGGCCTCAAGAGGAGGAAACCGAAGAACAACATTGTGAAGAGCAGCTCGTCGTTCGTATCACGGGTAATTACCCATGAAGCGCTGACGAAACGCCTGAACGATCGCAACCCAGACGGCTTTTTCGCATTCGCCAACATCAACCGCGCATTCCAGTGGTTGGATCTCAGTTCGAAGCAAAAAGAAGAGCCGCTGGCGAAAATTCTCTTCACAAAAGCGCACATTCTGAGCCACGATATCAACGAATTGACGAAGAGCTCATCGCACATCGATATCGTCATGGGTTCATCGGCCGGGGACATTATATGGTACGAGCCGATCTCACAGAAATACGCGCGCATCAACAAGAACGGGGTTGTAGCCAATTCTGCCGTAACTCATATCAAGTGGATTCCAGGGTCGGAGAATCTCTTCATGGCCGCCCACGCCAACGGCCAGTTGGTAGTTTATGATAAGGAGAAGGAGGATGCACTTTTCACACCCGAACTCAGCAGCCCTTCGGCTGAGATGCTGAAATCTTCGGGCCGGCAGCCATTGCAGGTTCTCAAGTCGGTCAACTCCAGGAATCAGAAGACGAATCCGGTCTCCTTATGGAAAGTCGCCAATCAGAAGATCTCCCACTTTGCGTTCTCTCCGGACCGTAGACACCTGGCCATTGTTCTGGAGGACGGGTCTTTGCGGGTGATGGACTACTTGAGAGAAGAGTATGCAGGCTATCCTTGGTACTGCCACTGTTGATAGACAGATCGCTGACTGCTGCTAGGGTTCTTGACATATTTCGCAGTTATTATGGTGGTCTAATATGTGTTTGCTGGTCGCCGGACGGCAAATACATCGTGACCGGCGGCCAAGATGATCTGGTTACGATCTGGTCCCTACCAGAACGAAAGATCGTAGCCCGATGCCAAGGCCACAACTCATGGGTTTCTGCGGTAGCATTCGATCCCTGGCGCTGCGACGAGAGAAACTATCGATTCGGCAGTGTTGGTGATGATTGCCGGTTGTTACTATGGGACTTCAGCGTGGGCATGCTCCACCGCCCCCGAGTGGTAGGTTTTCATTCCGCACCGCCAGATGAACACCATCAGTCAAGCTTGCTCCATAAACTTACACTCCTCCAGCACCAAGCGAACGCGCGCCAGCGGACAAGCATGGTCGTGACCAACACGCAACTCAACAACCGTCATCGCGCCGATAGTGCCGCCGGCAACCGAGTCCGGTCCGACTCGCAACAGACCGCCGATACCTACAGCAGCTATGATCCGACCGTTCGCCATCCCGTCGAGCCCAGGGCGCGGACGGCTCTGTTGCCACCGATCATGGTGAGCTTTCTTTCCCCCTCCCCAACTTCCCAGACTGGCAGCTAAGAAACATCATTATAGTCCAAGATCGTCGGAGAAGACCCCATCTGCTGGCTTGGGTTCCAAGAAAACTCCATCATGACGTCTTCTCTTGAAGGTAAACCCCCCACCCCTACCCTTCCCCAACCCTTTGCGCAAAGAAAGTATATGCTTCATCAAGATCGCGCGTTGACCCCCAACCCGCCGCAGGCCATATTCGCACGTGGGACCGTCCCCGCGAAGGCATCAACGAGAATTATTACGACCACACCTCATCCCCGGCTTTCAGCGCCAGTGCAGCGGCGTCGGGGTCCGGTTCTGCACTGGGAGACTCCGTGATGGGGTCTCTTTGAGCGGAGCAGCGTGGGGAAGAGAAACCAAAAGAAAATGGAGGCCATGCTCCCTCCCAATCCCATCCTTGATCTTTGTAAATATCTGTATGATGTGTTTTCTTTCTTCATGAGATCTATACCCAAATGAAACCGCTAATTTCAAGTTATGTTGGATATCTGTTATTCTTGTTCTTCCATGATTGAAGGGGTGTGCTATTAAATCGGTTGCACCAAAATAAAGGAGCAGAAAGCGGCAGTTCAAGTCAAGTCTGTTGAAGCTCATTCCCCCTTTGCTTTGGGCCATTATCCAATCTCTGGCCTGGTTGAGATACCCTATTTCCTAAAGATAACTTGCAGCAAAAGACTGGTTAAGTGTAGTAGGGAGAAAAGCAATCTGATCCGAACGAAGAGAGGAGCTTGGAACTATACTACGGTGACCTATCACTGTATCGGCAGGGGGTGTAGAAGAAATGCCAATGATTAGATAAAGTATCGACTATCAACCTCACAAAAAACCCCATCGACGGTAAGATTGCAGGCAGGGAGTCACAAACATCTTCATACATTGAAATAGAAAAAAAAAGGTAACAGGGGGTTGTGCTTTCGTCAATCAATTAACAGGTGGGATAAATGGTTGGGATAAATGGATAATGTATCGTGTTGCGTCACTCGTGTAGGTAGGGGGAGGGGGAGGGGAGGGGTGATGGCAAAGGATCAAAGGGCATGAAGTCAGAGAGGGATTTCTGGGGGAAATCGAATGGGTAGTATGATGAGAGTATGCAGTTGCAGATGAAGGAAGAGTAAACAAAATTGCTGGTATGTTTTGGGTGGAAGGAGATGTGATGCAACTAATTCAAAGGCAAAAGCTGACAAGGTAAGCAAAGCAAAGCAAAGCAATTTGTGTGTACCACTCATGGTGTAGTTGGCGATGATATGAGTGCGTATATACAACCCTTACCCTGGATTAGAATCTTAAATATAGAGTGGGAGAGGACTGGGTAGGTAGGTAGGACAGACGCCCGGGCTGAGCGTTGGGAGGTCGTTACTCGGAGGCGAAACGATGAGGGTGATAGTTTGGTGCAGTGACAGCGGGAACGCATGGCGAAAGTCGCGACGTCAATTGTGAATTGTGTCACTGTACCTTCCTTGGACTGGGGTCGTTTACAACGCTCCGGCGAAGATGCTCATCACGAGGGCGCTGAGCACGGCGAGGGGACCGCTCAGGGTCATTGCGCTTGCGGCAGCTCCGGCGGAGGCAGTGGCGGAGGCAGCGGTCTTGGTGGCAGTAGTGGCAGATGCTGTGGCTGTTGTTAAGGTAACAAACAGATTGAACCCAGGTTAGATAACTTCATTCATCTCATATCCTGTCTGTACTCACCCGGTCTCACGGAGGCGGAGGGAATGGTGCTAGATGATGGTGAAGATGGTGAAGAGGTCTTGTGATAGATGCAGGGGCGTGCCTTGTATCTAGTGCTGGTGTAGGTGCTGGAAGATAGTGGTGCATGTGCATGTGCTGGTGATGATAGTGGTGATGATGGTGTAGGTGTAGGTGTAGGTGATGTAGGTGATGTAGGTGCAGATTGTGAGATGTGTGATGGTGGTGATGATAGTGTTGAATTAGAAGTATCCTTACCCGTCTCAACTTTGCCAACCTTAGTCACGTTGAATTGATTCGACTGGCTCAAGATGCCAGTGTTCTGGGTGGTGTTGGCAATAGCATTCAGTTGGTAGCCATTACTATCATCGACCTGATCAGTCTTGCTGCCGTTCCACCTCGAGTCAAGGATACAACATACGCAACAGGAATCCCGGTGATCATGTCCACAGTATAGGAGCCATCCGAGACCTTGGCATTCTGGGTGATGACCTTGTTGACTGTAGGCTGGGAGGCCATGTTGACTAGGACCAAAGTGACCTCGTCCGGATCAGAACTGCGCAGCCCGTCAGTTTTATGCATGACGGGTCAATCTGGAGAAGGAAAACGCACGAAACCGTTGTCCATTGGAACTTGTACGACTTGCTGAAGTCAACCTGGTCCCCAGCCTTGGGCGCGGTGATCGTGAGAGCTGGAGAGTCCTGTCAGTTTAGGGCCAGCAGAGATCGAAAATCGGGAACCCTACCCAGAGCCGAAGCAGCAAAGGCGACAATGGCAAGAAGGAGGCTCAAGGAACGCATGGTGAAGGTGCTCAGGAGATATTAGAACTAGAGATGAAGAGGGGAAACTGCACAGCAGACACTAGAAGAATTGAAATTGGGGAGAAGCTATACACTGGCTTGGAAAGATGGATGGGAGTTTGCTGGTCTGGGACACGACAGCTTTATAACTTCTTCTACACCACACACACCACACCGCAACATCTAACGGTACAATTACCTTTCTATCCTCTCCACCCCTCCCACTATCCTGTCATCGTCCTTGTTTCTCCGTTCTCCTACCGGATTGACTGATCGGAAAGAAAAGATCAAGAAAACAGTACGAAGGAAAGAAGGAAGGACGCGGAAGGGTAAAGTCAACGCCCTGTGTCTATTTTGGGGGGATGTGGTTGTTGTTCACTTCCCGTTGTGCGCCCATGCGAGGGGGGCTTCCTGCAGGTGACTGGTCCGATTCCCTTCATCAAACCTATTTTCCCATGGAGACGCGTTCAATTGCTGATTCTCGTGACCGTGGTCAGTGCCTACACAAGGGTTTCGAGAGGAGGTTGACAGGAGGTTGATAGGAGATTTCCTACTTGCTTGCTATCAGTCGAGCCAGGGAGTATCCCCTCCCTATCCCTCCCCTCTCCTCGTGTGCACAGGGCACGCCTCTCCTCCCTTCGAGGGGAATGACGTTTCATCGCTCGCCACTGTAATGGTCTAAGGAGCGCTTTCTTTTCTTCCAGAGACAGCCGCCGTACGTGCCGCGTCCCAATGGTGAATTCCGGATCTGGACTAAGGTTTCCCTCTTCCACTAGCCTTCTCAACCTACCGCAGCTGATGCATACATAGCGGCAATAGATGCATAATCTTAAAAGAACAACACTTTGAGTGCTTCCGATCGGTGCGATACCTCTTCATTCAAGGCTCTTGTAATGGTGCGCCCATTTCCTGCCAAGCCACTGCTCGACCTAGAGAACCCTGTTGAACAATAATTGATTTGTCTGAAGGAGGAAAACCTTCATGTCACAATGACCTTTTGGGCGCCCTCAATTGAATTCAGGACAATTGAGTTACGCAGCACCATAATGTTTCGCGTTCGCGAGCGTCAGACACTCCAGGCAGTTTTTTTTCACTGCTAAGTGCCCGGTGGACAGTCACCAAATATTACGCATCAGATCATGCACTGCTGACCTGACAAGTCATATTGGACCCGAAAGTTAAGCATGTTGCGAGTACGCGAAAGAAAAAAAACCTATCAATTAGTGTTCACCTGGACGGATCATTGACCCCCAACTGCACGGAGCTTGACTTTGGGAGCTAGCAACAGACTCTGACTATCGACAGAATTTTGAACAGATTATTTCCTAGAGTAACGCGGAACGTAAGTGCCGACTGATCCAGAGTACATCTTCCGTCGCAAGCACACGGGAAACCGTGCCGGAGTAAATAGTCCTGAAGGTTGCCAATGCTTGGATCCTGGGACGGTGCCTGGAAGTCAATTCGAAAGGCAGTGATGCCAGGACAGTACCAGGTAGAGTACATAATTGCTCCCAGTTTTTGTGATCATGACAGATGTGTCGTACATTGTCATCTGATATTGTTCTCACTCTTCATATGCAATCACAAGAAGAATACTGATTTGCGGTATAGTGGATGCCCGCATCCACGGTTACCGAACGGCATCGGGGCCAACGCATCTTTTAAACATGACCGATGACTTGCTGAAATTCTAGTCAGCTACCGACGTCTCCGAGAAAGGGAACGAGGCCAGCCTAGTGATCTTCATCTAGTGCGATCTCTGACCCAATGCTTCATCCGCATGTGCTTATCGGATATGCATGTGGAATAAGAATAGAGGGTCTTTATCCCCGAGTCACCTCCTTGGGCCCGCTCAAACATCCAGTTGTCCCGACAATAATCTGTATTGATCAGGTATACTTGCTTTGGACGAAGGCTTACGCAAGCTGGAGGACGTGAGTCAATCATTGCAACTCGTGGAGCTGATTTTCCAACGTGTGCCGAGCAGACTCGCAGCCAGATCCTACCTAAACTCGGCAATATATTCATCTGCCTTGCTAGTTTTGTACTCGGGTTTTATGTTCCAGTGTCATTGTACGATTTATGCATGTCTTGCTTGTTTCTATATACAGCAGCTCGGATACACACAACTGGACTTCTCACCGAGTCCTAACTAGGTGGTCACCAGCGCATATGGACAACCACTATGATCAAATGCCCCACACGCCCAGCGGATCTGGGCCACCCGAGTTGGTCCGCTGTTGCTGCAGGGTCTTTACCCTTCGGACGAGCGTACCTACACAAATGGGACCAAGAAGGGTGCAGATCGAGATCGCCCAAACCACGACCAGATAAGTGTCTGACGAGCCGCCAGTTGGGCCTTGACCGAAAATCCCCTTCGATTCTGCGAGAGACGCAATGAGATAGCCTACCTCCCCTCGCGCTACCATTGCCAGACCCAATATTGACGATGGATACAGAGATTTGGGTTTGGGGGGAAGAGAGCTAGACGAGCTGGCACGTTCAGGCCCTGGATGATCTCTCGCAGTTGAGCTGGCGGAAGCTCCCTGGGAAGAATTGTTGCCGTTCGACGCCGACGTACCGCTACCAGCGACCTTATCTGTGGATTGATCTGTGGCTACAGTGTTCGAGTCCCTCGAGCGTGCTTTCTCTTTCTTTGCCGTCTTGTTCTTCACCTTTGCTGTTTTAGCCTGCGGTGAACGGGCACAGACCAGTTTGACGTAGGAGAAGAATGCTGTCAATGTCCGAACCAAGCTCGACACCGGCCCGAAGGTAAATCTGACCAGCCAGGTACCTGTCACGACTTTCCCTAGGAACATGAGAATGGCGTAGATGACCCCTCTCCAGACAATATCCCCCTTGAACATTTCCGTGATTGGGACAGCAAATCCGATCGAGGCCTGGCCTACATCAGTCGAGTCATGGCGAGAAAGGGAGTGAACATGACTTACAAAGAAGAGCGGAATTAAGATTCTCTTGGCTGGTTCCGCATAGTACCTCTCGTAAATCAGCGAGCCAGTGGGATATTCTGCACAAGACGAGGTCATGTCACCGGATTGCGAGGGGTTTCCTTGCCCATCCCGCTCGGAAGTCACACTTCCCTGGCTGGACGCACGCTCCTGGGAGGCATTCTGAGTCCTCAATTCGTATCCAGCAGTAGATCCCAAACAAGTGTGATGTTCGGCTGCTGAGCTTTGCTCGAAGAAGTCACTGATCCACGTCGCTGAGACACCCGCAAGATATGCAGCAAACAAACTAGATGTCCCTGCGTAGGTAGCACCAGCAACCAGCCCCACCAAGAGACACGTATAAGCCAGGAAAGCAAACTGGACTGTCTTCAGAGCATTGGGAAATTTGTCGCGGTGCAAGAAGAGGACCCGCAGGGTAGGCGTCACACCGTACCGGCAGACAAGCACGACGCCCACACCAAAGGCGAGCGACACGAAGATCGGTCGAATGACAGTCACCGCACTGAATGAATCGCCGCCACCGCCACCAAGGTTCGTGATGATTTGAACCATCACAAGCCCTACAACATCGTCGAGCATCGCTGCACTCGTAGTTACAACACCCAGCCGTGTCTTGACAAGGTCCGTGGTGGAAAGAATGGTAAACGTGGTCCCCAGACTGGTCGCACTGAGGGCCGCTCCAGCAGCAAAGGCCTGTAAGGGAGTCGCTGAGACCAGTTCCATGAGGATGAAGGAGAGAGCCATGGGGGTAGCGATCCCGGTCAATGCCACGGCGACCGAAAGGAAGAGGTTCGCTCGCAGCGAAGAGAGTGAAGTCGAGAGACCTCCTTCATAGACCAACAGAATTAAGCCAAGGTACCCGAGCTGCTGAATCACGGTCTCCGCGTCGTCGCTGAGCCATTTCGCCCCGGGGGTACCCCAGAGAATGCCGATGAAGAGCTGGCCGATAAGCCCGCAGTAGAGCAGTTTGTCCAGGCAGACGTTGACCAAATTGAGGACTAGCAGGAAGCCGGATTGATTGAGAATAATGTGAACGGAGGGCTCCTCGTAGGCAAATGCGGTTTCAGTGGAGCTCATGATGATAATGGCACTAAATTGGATGATCGATCTTTATAATAAGAAAGAAGGTTGGGAGGCCTATATGTCAGGCAATGATTGTTTGCGGTGATTGAAAGTTGAGCTTTTGAGGTTAGAAGACTCCATCGATGAACTTTTACTGTCCTTTGGTACAGTTTGAGTAGCTTAAGGGCTCTTGTTCTGAGGTATTTGCACGAGTGGTGATAACTATGATGGCAGTTGGTGGTGATGCCTAAACAGCTTCGAAAGATGACGAAAGGTGGTGGGTGATTTCTGCCAAGAGTCCCGGGCTTGGCCATCCCACACTTTAAGGTTCCGATTTCCGCCTTCCGCCTTGAATCCACCTTCCGCTTACCGCTTTCTCTAATCTATTCCAAGTGCAGTTCAATACTCCTACCCCCAGTTGGCTATTCTCATTGTGTCATGGTCCATGCTTATGATTGGGAGAGAACTCTGCGCGATCACTTCAAGCGACTCACTTCTTGACTCGGCAGGTCGCTGATGTTCATCTTGAAAATCGAGACAATTTACCCATGAATCTCGCCAAGCCCAACACATCTTGAGCGGCACTGGGCGCCGTCCAACTGCTGCACATCGCTGGCTTGACCCAACAAAGACAAAGCAATACTCCAAGTCTCAGTGCTTGCGTTTAGCCTCTTTCATTCGTCGCTCTTGTCGTGCCTGTCAATGGCAGCGGTTTTGTGTACTGTACAACATGAGCCTGATCCGTGATCGGATGATCATTGACCACTTCAAGGTACCGAGTCAATAAAGGTTGGTCTATCAATAGCCCTGTAGACTGAACTGTGAAACTCAATTCTGAATAGAACAAAGGAACCCAAGCTCTGTGTTCCTGAAAGTCTACGTACTCCAGGAATCAAGGGGTGCCACAAACATACAAAATATGTCTGAAATACTACATTCCAATGGCTACAATACGGGCCTAAGGAATGAAGAATCCATCGGCCTATACTAGGCCCAGATTGGCAATAGGTTTGGGAAATATTTGACGGCTCGAGGCCGACCAACGCAGCGCAGCTTCATGTGCGACCAAGCTGATTGTTTACCGTGGGTGTTTGTCCTCTTCTGGCCGTGGTTGCCCTAGGCCAAGAGGTATGTGTTCCGCTTGCCTCATTCGATCGCTGATCATCGCATCAGGAAAGGCTGATTCTATGACGTGCTAGCCTAACCTGGGCAACTACCACTATTCACTGCACTGATAGCCTTCCATTGATCGGTGCCCTTTCATAGTGGGGCTACCATATGGCGTCGAAGCTCAAATGTTTGGCTATCAAGGGACCTCCATTCTAGGGGTCATGAGTTGGACAACCATTGGACAAGAGGCCATAAACAGAACCGAAGTACCAAGCTACTGTCTTGCTTGGTTTATTTAAGATCCAGTGTCCCCCTGGGTTTGCTCGAGCTCGATCCCTCGTGCTCTGTCAGAACGACGTATCTCCCTTCAGCTATACTTCCGACCCTTGTCTTTCATTTGTGTGGGGACTGGGGTAGTTTACGTTCAGACAGGGATTGATCTTCTCGGTACAGCGCTTGGTTCTCGGAACAAGTCCTCGCCATGAAGGTCCAGACAGCGAATCTCATCCTGGGGTTTTGCGGCTCCATCATGGCCCTGCCCCTTCATGATGCATTTGAGAAACGAGCCTCCCCGACACCGTCTTCAAGCCATACTGTCCAGTGGTCCGGCTCTGCCGCCGTCTCGTCGGCCTCTGTACATGTCCCATCCAGCAGCTCTTCGTTGAGAGTACCTATCTCCGGGCCTAGCTCTGCGGCAAAGGAACTCGGTACCGCCAACTATCATGCTCCAGCAATGATGAACGGAGCTGCCGTCAACGGTTTTCCACCCACCACTACCGCAGCAACCGCCGCGGGCGGTTCCAGTACCTCTGCAAGCTCTGCGACCACCAAACCGGCGATTTTTCCGACTACCACGGCTGCTGGAGACCATCCTAGTGCTGGAGGTCAGAGCCCTGGCGGTTACAGCAGCCTGTCGAGTCAAAGTCAGCCTAGCGCCAACGGACAAACGGCTCCTGGTGGTCAGAACACTGGTCTCCCGAGCGCCCCGTCTCAAAGCCAGCCTACTCACCCAGCCTCGGCTACGAGCACTGCCGCATACAGCGATGCGAATCCGGCGAGTCAGCCTACGCCTTACGGTCAATCCTCAGGATATGGTGCTTCTACGTCCTCCGACCAGGCGTTTCCTTTTGAACAATTGAACCCCTTTGGACAATCCACGGCTGATGACGAATCGGCTCAATACGGGCAACCTGTCCCGCAAAGCTACAGTAGTGGATCTGTACCAGCCACAGGGAATTTCCCGGGTGTTCAAGTGGCCCCTCCAGGATCAGCTACGAACAGCGGGGGATCTACTGGAGCGCGTCCTCAGGGACAAACTTCACCGCAGGGTTCAACCTCTAACACTGGAGCATCTAGTGGGCTCCGGCCTCAGGGACAAACAGCGCAACAGAGTTCAACTTCCAACACCGGTGCTTCTGCCGCAGGGCGTCCTCAGAGTTCCACGTCGAACAAAGGAGCATCTAGCGGTACACGTCCCCAAGATAATTCGGCTCCAGTGGTTCCATCCACAAACACAGGAACCAACAGCGCGTATCCTCGGGGACAACCCGGCTCGGACGGATCAAGCGCGACAGTAGGAAAACCGAGTGACGGACACCCTCAAAGCCAGTCTGCGAGCACCGGAGCATCTAAGGGCTCTGCGAACACTGGTGCATCCAATGGCGCCCGTCCCCAGGACCAATCCACTCGTCCTGGTTCGACTACAAGCAACGGCACGCCTAGCGGAACACGGCCCAAGGTTCAGTCCCCTAACACCGGAAGCGCATTGGTTCCTCAAGGTCAATCTGTGGACCCTGAGTTAATCAGTTCCCAACTTGCCGAAGAGTATGGTCTGGATGCTGATGGAGAATTGCTTCCCCCGGGCTACAACCCTGTCGGAACAGCATCTGATGACGACGATGAGTCGACTCCTTTCAGCTACACGGGAGGTTTTCCCTCTCAGACCCAGGCCGCTGCTCCGGCTAGTGCCAGTGAATCCAGCCCCAAAGGTTCTGTAGCCTCAAGCTATGTTGGCACTGTGTCTCCAAAGGGTCAATCTGCAGCTGCTGGATACCTTGGAACCACTGCTCAAAGCCAGCCCTCCGGTTACGGCAGCTCTAATCCGCACGGCCAGTCTTCCGGCTCTAGCTCTGGAACCCCTACTCCTCAGGGTCAGTCATCGGCTTACGGTAGCTCCGCTCCCCAAGGCCAGTCCTCGGGATCCACTAGCTCGATCCCTCAGGGACAATCCTCAGGATACGGTAGCTCCACCCCTCAGGGTCAGTCATCTGGATACGGTAGCTCCACCCCTCAGGGTCAGAGCTCTGCCTCTGAAGGCTATTCTAGCGGCGTCGGTCCCGGAGGGGATCCTGTCTACAACGGGCCTATGGCAGGCCCGGACACCCAGGGCCAGACTACCGGCGGTACTGGAAAATCTTCCGCAGGTCAATCGAAGGGCACCACATCTCCATCTGGTCATACCACGAGCTCCGGCCAAACTCCTCAAGGCGGTTCATCTGCTGCTGGATCTGGAAAATCCCAACCTGGGCAGACACAGACCCAAGGACAGGGGCAGGCGCAGGGCAAGAGTCAGGCCCAGGCACAAAAACCAAGCCAAGGTTCCGCCGCAGGCCAAGGTCAAGGACAAAGCCAAACCCAAGGAAAGAGTCAGGTCCAGGGACAGCCACAGACCCAGGTTCAAGGACAGAAGCCCAGCCAAGGTTCTGCTCAGAGCCAAAGCCAAGGAAAGGCACAGACCCAAGGACAGCAGACCCAAGGACAGGGACAGACTCACGGGTCCGCTCAGCAAGGACAGACCCCAGCTCAAGGATACGCTCAGGGCCAAGGACAGACCCAGGGACAGGGGCAGGCCCAAGGACAGGGACAGAAGCCCAGTCAGGGTTCCGCCCAGGGTCAAGGCCAAGGCCAGAGCCAGACTCAAGGACACTCTCAGGCCCAAGGGCAAGGGCAAGGACAAGGACAAGGACACTGAGGCAACGGCCGAGCCTTGGAGAAGAATGTGGGGATCCTAGTTGATATTTGTAAGCTCTCTTGTACTTTCTTCGCAGCTTCGACGCTGTACCAATATTCTATGTCTGATTAAATCATAATATGTAATGGAATTAATAAGCCCCTAATTGGTTGAATTGAACTGTCATTGTTATCTCGAAAGTGCCAGATTCTTGTAAACGCTCAATGCAAACAAGACTTAGGTCCACAAAGCTCAGCAACCAGGAATCTTCCGACGCAAGGGAGTAGGAAAGACGACCCTGGGACAGATTCCTCCGGCGTATAGTGTAGTCACTAACGACGTATGCACGACTTGCCTTCCTCGGCAGCGCGCAGTGGGATGAAACAACCGTGCGGGCTTGCTTGAGATAACAAGCACACAGACTCTCAAGGCTCCCGGAGAGTTTATGTCCTGTTCGCCTCGCCTTCGGGGGTGACCACACGGGTCATCGGAGCCGATACAGAGATTATCTTGAGAAGTGCTAGTGAGCCTCTCTGTCAGTTAGTGATCGGACATAGCAGCCTTGCCATCCGTACCATGCGTACGCATCTGGATGCTTTTTTGTATTGGCAAGTACAGTACAATACCTATCTTATTGTACGAGTCCTGCCCCGATTAGCATGTATGGTATTATAGCTGTCGTTTGTGAAGTTGTCAATCGCGTCACATTTGCACCGCTTGGAGAGAACCAGAGCAATGCACAGTACTATGTCCTTAAAGTATATACTACTATAGATGTTATTACATAGATCGCAAGACAAAGAACACGAATTGTACGACTCATTAGCATAGCCACTCAACCGCCCAACTTATACATAAGTTATAAGTTATCATGTAATTGTCACCCCCAAACCACCTATCCAAAATATATAGCACCGTACGGAGTATCATGCATGCACCAAGAACCAATCCACAA